AGTGTCTAACCTCCCCCTGTCCTAAAATGAAATGGGGAGGCTCTTATTTATTTACAGCATGTTTTGCACTCATCTCATAACACTGTAAATTACCTGCATGGTCAAGGCTCTCGCCTCGCACAGGAGAGTGAAGGGACACTAAAGCATTTGATCGATATGAAATTTCATTCAGGAATCACATGCGATCTGTCCGTTTCCATAAATCACATTTTACGAGGCGTATTTTAAATACAAAATCAGGTGGATGTGAATTTCAATGTGTAAATTATGAGCAGGGCAGGCACACATGTGTATGTGTGTTATGTGATGCACAATATGTCTGTAGGCACCCGACCCGACAGAGCGTCCTGCAAATATTTATGAGAGTTGTGCTGTATATCTGGGAAAAGGATAATGTGTGATGTCCCTCATGCAGTTTTTGGTGCCTGATCAGATACCGAAGTTATACCTACACACACACACACACACACACACACACACACACACACACACACACACACACACACACACACACATATATATACACACCTGTATTTGTGTGTATATACGTCAATATCGTAAAACTCTTACTAGGATAATAACAAGCTACATTTCATCATGGAGCGTGATGATTAAAAAAAAAAACTTTCAAAAATAATAAACACCTAACCTAATTTTACATGTGTGTGCGCGTGTGTGTGTGTGTGTGTGTGTGTGTGTGTGTGTGTGTGTGTGTGTGTGTGTGTGTGCGTGTGTATACGTGTTTGCGCGCACGCAGAGCGAATTCCTCGAGAGGGAATTCTCCCGGGTCCGAAGCGGCTGGTCTTAACCGCGAGAGGCAGGGGCTTCCTCCATTATGGCGAACAAGTGCATTTGTTTTAAGGCCAGTGGAGATTTCTAACCTTTGCTTGACACACCGCAAAAGGTCAAGCCCATCTGTGGCTTCCCTCCGGAGTTGAGCCGGATCATTTCCTCCCAGCACCTTTGGGCCCCGATAAAATCCCCGGCATGAAGGTATCCGAGTCATGAATCTGGTAGACACCAAAAATGATGGTTTTAAAAAGTGCTTTGTATTATTATTATTTTTTTTTAATTTGATTTTTTGGTAACTGAAAATACTTTTTGGAACAATGTCCAAAAACGTTCTTTGTAATGCTTTTGTTTTGTTTTCCTGTGCACTGTTTTCTTTACAGGGGACACAATTTCATATTTCTTGGCATAAATACATAGATAGTAAAATGTTCAAAAGCTACATACATACATAATAACTAACTTTTTGGTTTATTGGTGAAGAGAGACAGTGAAGTACTAAAATGTTTTTCCCCCCCTGTGAACTTTTGGAATTAATCGCTGTTTCAGCCTCCTTTGACAGCAATAACCTCAACCAAACGTTACCCGTAGTTGCGGTTCATACCAGCACAATGATCAGGAAAAAAAAAAAAATCGGACCATTTCTCTTTACAAAAGTCTTTCAAATTCAGCAATATTCTTGGGATGTCTGGTGCAAATCATTCTTGTGCATCTCATTCCACCCCGGTTGAGATCAGGACTCTGACTGGTCCCCTCCAGAGGACCTCTTTTCATTTGGTGAAGCCATACTATTGTTCATTTTATTAATGGTATACGCCAGGGGTCCCCAACCTTTTTTGCCCCACGGACCGGTTTAAATCAGACAATATTTTCAGGGACCGGCATTTAAGGTGTGGCGGATTTATACAACAAAATAATATGGTATGAGCTGCATGAAAACTGTGGTGTTTTCGAAATATAATAATAAACACAAGGAGCGTCTAATCTGGTCGCAACACTCTTATCGCTATGGTAATGTTTAATGCCTTCAAAATACGATACAACGCAAATTCAAAGTGCATGAAAATGACGACTCACCACA